GAAAATGTTGTTTTGTTACACTTCAGAGTTTCCGTTAGCCACCATTCTCTTCTCTCCCTTAAACTCTTCGCGCTTCAGAATTCGTTGAATGTCATTGGCTGGAGCGAACGAACTTTAAAAACGTCATTCATTTCTCGTAGTGTGATAGGACCAGAGAGCGCCAGCAATAAAACAATACAAAGACGTCAATCGCTTCTCGCTCCGTGATTGGTCCACAGTCACGTCAATAAAAGAGCTTCTTCTTGTGCCTAGTATGCAGTGCAATATTCGTGTGTTACTGGCATCTACTGGACAGAAGTCAAAGTTATATGATTATAACTTGACTGAACATTTTGTGTTTTTGAGCAAGAAAACCAAAGAAAATTAGTTTAGCGCTATAAACTATTGTGTGACTAATATTGTAACCAAATTATTTATTATTATTAATGTTTTTGTATATGCTTATTGATGTATTGTCAGTGTTATTATCATTAATCATAATTTCAACTAGTTTTTTCTTGCTATAACTTTTGAATTGATGCTTTGACAATATTTATGTATAACAATCAAAGTAATATACTTTAAAAAATGATGCACATTAGGACTCAAATACTGCAATTTCATGTATTAATATTCAATATTACAGAATTCTGTATTGATTTTATTTCCAATTTTACCGTTTTTTCTTCAAATGAAAATAAAAAATATTAATATTAGTAAGAGATATTGACCTTGAGGACAGTGGCCTGCTTATTGCTCATGGTAATATTCTTAGATAAATATGGTGAGTTGATGCCAGTTTTTTTAATACCATATCACATAAACAGCATTTGAAAGGGCCTCCTTAAATATATTGTTCTTAGAAATTAGGTCTGACTCGCCCCCAACCTCTCAAATGTCTTTATAATCAGGATACAGAAATAATTTATGCATTAAATTGAAGTTCTTATGTTTTTATCTTTGGACGATCAAGACAATTTAGTTTGTTTTCCAGACAGCATTAGTCATTGGGTCTGTTAAGGAACAAAACACAAAAGAGAACAAGTTGTGCAGACTAATAGCTCTTTAGCCCAGACACATTGTTTAAAATATATAACCAAGGAACACTGTTTCTTTTAGTGTTACTCTATCCACAAAACCAAAAATGGAGACAAAACCATCTGAATAAAAGCACAAACCACCTTTTTATCTTTTTATACAACTAAATATAATAAACTATACGTTAAGTACGTTAATGTTTTATAATATAATTAGGTCAGTGACTCCAGATTGTATAATTTTCATTGTTCACAAAAATTGTCCCTTGCTCCCATCAACAGAATATGACTTACAGGGTAAAGGGCAGGGTAAAATAGGAAAGATTTTACATCATATCAAGTCATTGGAGAATAGAGTTGTTTGCTTTGGCACAAAACTCCCAAACTAGGTTATCTCTGCGTCAATACACAAAATGGAAATGTCAGCAGCGCATTAAAAGAAGGCCCAGATAAGTTCCCAGTCATAATCACAGACACACAAATGTCAGAAACTCTACAGCATCAAAAACCTCCTTGCATCTATGCAGAATGGAATTAGACGGCTATTTATATGGTAAAAATGAAGTACAACACCATAAATAACACTCATAGTATTGATCTATTTGTTTCCCCTGACACATATATTAATAATTTCTTGCATGTCATCAATTGCCAGCCGCCCTCATTGATGGTTTGAGGAAATGAGAGTGTGTAAATAGGTTACCCTCTGCTCATTCAGTATCCCTGATCATTTTAAGACAGATCAATGAGAGAAACTGACAGACACTGGGAGAACAAGGGCAACACAGCGCTTCCAGTTATGTGCCTTTTGGTTCTGACCCAAAGTCCAAAGGGTTCTGCTTCGCGGCCTATGAGAATTTAGGTCAGGGATTCAGCAAACGAATGCTTTTGCAGACAGAACCCAGACAGCCTTGAACAGCCAACACTCTCAGTGAGCAGAAAAGTGAAGTGAAAGTGAAGTGATGTGGCCAAGTATGGTTACCCATACCAGGAATTAGTGCTCTGCATTTAACCCATCCTAAGTGCACACACACACAGCAGTGAACACACACCCGGAGCAGTGGGCAGCCATTTATGCTGCAGCGCCCGGGGAGCAGTTGGGGGTTTGGTGCCTTGCTCAAGGGCACCTCAGTCGTGGTATTGAAGGTGGAAGAGAGAGCTGTACATTCACTCCCCCCACCTACAATTCCTGCCGGACCGGAGACTCGAACTTGCAACCTTTGGGTTACGAGTCAGACTCTCTAACCATTAGGCCACGACTTCCAGAACGAGACGCAAAAGTCAGGCGAATGAGAAAGAAAATGAATGCAAAACACCCCTTATTTGTACAAAATCTAGCTTATGATAGTCTGTCGAGTGCCATGTCGTGAAGATGGATTTAAGTGTTTCCAAAAAAGGGGACAAGTTCTTAGTTTTCCTGAGTATTTAATCATTCTTGCCCATCAGCCCAACTTGTCACTAGCAATATATTTAATAAACACTGGCCTGTAAACACGAGTCACTGTTTTCCTCTAATGATTCAAGCACATTTCAAGCCCACTCACTTGAATTATTTTTGCCATGTCAACATTGAAATAAACAGTCTTGACAGAATAGGATTATATACTTATATTTTGAGTTGAGGATGCAAATGCAAAGAGGGTGTGTTGCAAAATACAATTGATTCAATTGTGTTAATTTAATAGGAAAGAGTCTATTAACCCTGATGGTTTCCTTGATGCACTCCCTTTTCAGGCAAATTTTCTTCAGATCTTCTCTCAGCAAGGAATAAGCGATGAGAACAATTTGTTATATAACCAAGAACAATGGGGCCAGTCCAAATGCCTGCTGGGAACATGATGTTTTTAATTGGAAGGCTGTTTTTGTTCACTGCACATTAGGCACTGGGCAGCACTCCTGCATTCACCTAAATCTGCAGCGTCATATTTATATTTTAACTTTTATGAAGCGCAAAAATGGTGTTAGTTCTGAAAAGGGTCTGAAAATAAAGCTTCAGAAATAATGCATATCAATAAAAGGATGTATTTAGATTTGATGCACTAAGCAAGGCCTAAATGTAAATCGACTGATTAAGAAAGAGAGAGGGGGAACGGATAGAAGGAGACAAGACAGTCTGGAGGAAATTAACATAAAGTTTGTTTTCCCAACAGTTCCAAAACATCATATTTCTTTGACCTCACTATCACCATGGCAACCACACCACGGCAAAGTAGGTTACTGAGGCGCTTTGCCGCAGAAAGGAGAGATAAATAAGGATATTTCCTCTGAAGAAAAAACAGTTAGAACTGTTAAAGTTGATTTTGTATGTTTAAATATGTTCTCATATACATTTTATTATGCGTGCCAGTGACAACGATGTGAGCTATTCATAGGATGATTTCAGGGCCGCTGTTGGCCATATGGATGCCCTAAGCAAAACTGTATTGTTGTGCCCCCTCCCCCAAATATTATGGAAGTAAACAAAAACAAAAACACCTACTATAGGGGTCAAAATAGAACTTTAATAAAATATAATTTTTATGTAACACAACGTAGCGTCATGTTAGAAAGTGAATGACGATTGGTCATTTTACTGAGTGCATCTAAGTACATCTGAGTGACTTGTCTTAAAGAGGAAGCATAAATGCATGATATAGTGTCATAATCCGTTTTGAAAAACATCGGCCACACAGAAAGACTTATCGGCCGTTGCCGATATTTAAAAAATTCCAAATATCGGCCGAGGTGATATATCGGTCGACCACTAGTTTTAACAAAAAATCCAGTTAGGCCTACCTCCTATGGCTATGATTTTATTAATACAGTTGTCTGATTGATTTTATAGTCTCAAGCATTCAGAAATCACACAAAAAAAATTAAGCAGTTTTACTATGATAAAACCATGTTAATTTTTGTAAGGGTTGTGATGTCCATATGTTTTTGTTGAAGAAATTATAGAGGCAGGCTGCAGCAATTCTATCGCAAAAAGGTGGTCAAAAATGAAAGATTAAGTGGATGTTTGAATGAAATGTTTGGTCAATATTAAACAAGGATTTGATAGTCCCGTAAGTGTAACAACAGCAATTACCTTTGGCACCCTTTGCAGGCATTTGTAAATTGTTTATTTATTTTGTATTACATTATGTATTTTAAAAGTGTTATTCAATGAAACCATAAGATTATTATTAATTAACCAATCATTATTGTCTCATTGTTTTTATATAATGCATTTTAAGTAATTTTAAAGGCTGTTGTTCGCGTAGGTCTGTTTTTATTACCACAAGAAAATATTAGGCTATCTGATACTTCTTTGTTAATTATTATTTGAAGTAAGCAAAACCATGGTTAATTTGTGGTTACCATGGCTACAAGAACCATGATCTTTTTTTTTTTCGTTATGGTTTCGTTACGTTTTCGTTCATTTCGGTTAATTTTCGTAAGGGAACATGGAAACTCAGAGAGAATATTAAGGCAGATGAGTTGGAGGCGGTGAAATAATTATATCAACATTAAAACATGTTATTAATGTCAACAGACAAAAAAGTTTCACAGGATTATGAACGTACATGAAAATGATACATGGGCTTCATCTTGGGCTTTTTAACTTTTTCTTTTCTTGGTGCCGGACTAACGGTGTCTTTTTTCCGGGCATAGTTTTCCATCAATTATGATCATTTGCAGTCAGACGCAAACATGAGGTGAGGGCGGGCTTGGGCGCAGATGCGGGAATGGCGCGCCACGTGTGCTTAGCCTACTGCTTATTGCGGTCACTGTAAAATGCATTTTTTTCAAATTGTATATACATGTTCATGTTTATATTTGTATTAATATATATGTTAATATTAATATAGAATGAAAGTTTTTTTTTTAGCAACTGGGATGGTGCCCCGCTGAGAGTTGGTGCCCTACGCAAACTGCGTACTCTGCGTATAGGGAGCGGCGGTACTGGATGATTTATCCGACGGTGTGGTGCAATCAAAACATCTGTCATTAATTACTCACCCTCATGTCGTTCCAAACCCGTAATGCCTTCGTTCATCTTTGGAACACAAATTAAGGTATTTTTGATGAAATCTGAGAGCTTTCTGACCCTGCATAGACAGCAACGTAACTACCACATTCAAGGCCCAGAAAGGTAGGAAGGACATGTTAAAATAGTCCATGTGACATTAGTGGTTCAACGTAATGTTATGAAGTTACGAGAATTACAAATAATGGCTTTATTCAACAATTTCTTCTCTTTTCGACACGCGTTCATGACAGTACCACGACTCATGCGTGTGGTGCTGCTGACACAGGAGCCAGCGTTCTGACGTAGAACATGCATGCGCTGCGCCTTGTTTACTAGCAGAGGAATGCACATGCATACATCGTGGGTCTGTCGTGAATGTGCGGCGAAGACTGACACGGAAGAGAAGAAATTGTTGAATAAAGTCGTTATTTTTGTTTTCTTTGGTAACAAAAAGCATTCTCGTAGTACATCCTCGATGTCCTTACTACCTTGGGCCTTGAACGTGTTAGTTGCGTTGCTGTCTGTACAGGGGTGAACTAGACCTTTAAGCCCAAATTATACTTAGTTTTTTATACGCACGTAACATCCGGAGAGAAATAGTGCAGACACTGGACGATAATGAAACTTTCCAGCACACGTGTTGAGTGCCTGCACTGTAAAAAATCCAACTTGAAAATTGTTAACTCAGTTTAAAATTGTAAGTCAAGTGGACAAATTTTGGAGCACATTGTTGAGTTTACTTATAAAAACGATTTAACTGCATGTTTCTTACTGCTTTGTTGAGTGAATGTAAGTACATAAGTTGAGACAACGTAATATTTTGATTTCATAGTTTGACCGTTAAACTGCCTGCTATTGCGCATGCGTGGTCTGTCTTCGCGGTATTTTGCGCGGGGTCTCCTCTTCCAGACACGCCATCAAAGGGACTGGATTTCGCCTGGTTGAGGACTTGAGGTAAGCTTTATTTTAAGATTATTATTGAAAATAAACTGCACACATAGAATGTAACGTGCAATGATATGTTCCTACAAGTCAAAACTCGGTCTGAAGCATTTAGTTTTAATTTAAAACGAGCCCAGACAGCGAGTTAGCGATCTGCATAAGGTTAGTTCAGCTGCTAACAAGATTTGCATCAAAATACACGGTTAGACTGTGGTATTTAATACAATAAAATGTACAGAAGTGGATTATGTGTTGTAGACGTGTCAATTTCGTTCATTAATATTCACTTTGATTTTGTCTAATTTACGTAGTATTCTCGTTAAAGTAGCTAGTTTAATCGTAATCTATTTTTGATTTTGGCTTCAAACGAATATGAAGAACGGTAAGATTTTATTATAAGTCACGTTGGTCCGACCACAGCACAGTCCAATTGATAAGAGTTGTCATTTCTGTCGGATATAAGAAATATTAATGGGCGAATAAAATGAAAACAGAACCAATTCACGCTGCTCGTTTGCGCTGTACCGGACCGTTTAACGTTAGATAGCGCAGCGCGAGCGTTGAGAGATCCGGTGAAGAGGGAATACACAGCAGAATTATCAATATCGCTGCGAGATCTATCTAAGTTAGTAAGAATCATTCAGATTCGGTACAGAATTATGTTATTAATCAATAGATGGCAGATAACAGAGTGCTGACGTGAAAACCAGGATGGATATTGTGATATAAAGTTATAAGAACGCCTTTAGTCCACATATCATTCACCATGTATTTGTAGGAGCCATTACATTAAATAACTGCAACAATGGTATTATGGCAGAAACAGTCAAATGCTTTTGAGTGCTTTCAAGTGCTTCATACTACTTTTTCCAGCACTGTTATTTTTTATGTGATTACTAAAACATAATTTTTTTAATTCATTTTGCTTTAGAAAAATGTATTAAGACGTAACAAATCGTAATGTGTGTGTGTGTGTGTGTGTGTGTGTGTGTTTTATGTTGTTTTAAACATTTAATGTGCAATGTTACATTTATTTTAAATTAACATATTTTTTCCATTTTTCATAGGTTTGGAATACAGTGTAAACTTTAAAATTAAATTTTAAATTAAAAGATGAAAATAAAGTTGAATCAACTTAAAAAAACAAGGCAACCAGCTGCAAAGCTTTTTTGAGTTGACTGAACTTCATGCCCATGTAGTTGTGGCTACTTGTTTTTTAAAGTTCGCTCAACTCCCTTATCCAGCTTCACTGAACTTTCAAAAATGATTTGGCACAACTTCAACCACCGAAGTTGAGTAAACAAAAATGCTTTGCAGCTGGTTGCTTTATTTTTTTAAGTTGACTCAACTTTTTTTTTTACAGTGTATAAGGGAACACAATTCAATCTGTTTATATTGCATTGTTTTGATAAAGAAGTATTTTCTTGAAAATTAGTTTTTACCCTCCTGTTGATGTATGACTAAAGGAATACCCTGTTTAATGATGCACGATATTGTAATATTTATATACTTAAGCCGCTGCCACCACCTTTAATTCTTTAAGCCAGTGTGGTCTGGCACCAGAAGACAACACGCCACCACAACAGGTAATTTTATTAAGAGAGGGGACTGCAGGACAGGCTAAACACAACCTAGAAAGCCCTAGGGCAGTGTGCTACATACATTCACTCACTTCATTGCCATAAGATCAAATACAAACAGTGACACTTCAAACTCATGTAAAACGGTCTCATGCACGTGCAAAATTATACCTGCCCCCTGTACCCTCCCAGTTTCAGTCTTACCCACCCTCACTGCCCCCCTCCAGTTTTACCAGAAACAAGACTTTATTAAATGCATCAATTTAAAATGAGAATATAAAACCACTTAACTCGCCCGGGGTGGGGGGTTGGATTTGAGGAGCTGGTTCAGTCCGGGGAACACCGCTTATTGCACAGTGTTCCGTAATGGGAAATGCAAGCCGCGTGTCATACGTTTAATGCTCACAAGGACTTCTGCACCTGACAGTCTCAGCCACAGAAAGGGAAGACAGCAAGAGAAGCCTGTTCAGAACGGGCACGATCCATACGCAGGCACGCTCTAACAGCTCAGCAGTTAAATAGCACACACCATAAAGAACGACGGCACTCCTAACTCCCCGTCCCTACTTACTCTCACCCAGTCCCCGTTATCTATCTATCTATCTTCATCGCCGGTGGCCCTAAACGACCGCGAACGACATCCCCCTCCCAACAATATCTAAGTACCGCCGTCCTATTTCGGCTTGTAAATCAACCGTCAGCCAGCCCACCTCCATTCTCTTCTGCACGCTTTTTAAGCCTTCTCACCCCAGTCTCTGAATACACAGATCACACCCGGTGTTCCTCGTTCCTTTATGTTGTTTTAAACATTTAATGTGCAATGTTACATTTATTTTAAATTAACATATTTTTTCCATTTTTCATAGGTTTGGAATACAGTGTAAACGTTTGCAAATTTCCTCACAGAAGCAGAGAGGTCCTCCAGAAACACTACAGGTTTCACCACTATCAAGGGCGATCCTGGCAGCAGCCTTGCCTGTACACTGACTGCATCTGCACGTTCAAAACTATAGGTGCGTTAAAATCCCATTTGACAAGAGCACACAAACAGACTGGTGCAGTGACAGAGCACTTTAATTTTACATGCCAGTTATGTGATTTTAAAGATGTTTGTCAGCCATCTCAGTTTTTAAACCATATCGGAAACCATTTAAAGAGACGATGCAGTCAAATGTCCTTTTAAGGATTGTGAGTTGACTACCAATGTTCTTTCAACTTTTAGTAGTCACGTGTCTCGTAAACATAAGTCTCAAGGTTTCAATGATTTTAGCTCTTCTGTTACATTTCAAATTGACGATTTGGAAAGCAATGAAGAATCATGGTCGGAAGAGACTGGAGATCCTATACCAAATCCACAGTCATGTGTTACAGCTAACAGCTTTTGTGAAACAAACACACATTCAGAGCCTGTAGACTATATAGGGCTAGAGTGCAAACTTGCATCATTGATCCTTTATATGCAGACAATTTTGCATGTTTCAAAAAGTGCAACTCAGGAGATATTAAACTGGATGAGCGATATTGTTTCATTCTTCCCTTCAAAAGGAAAGGGATGCATTACATGAGGAATTGAAGAAGAAACATCTCAACATGGCATTTGTTGACTCGAAAATGGAATCGACATTCTCATTGAGAAGGAAGGAGATAGCTGAAGAAGAACCTCTTTTAGCTGATGTACTAAGACAATGACCAGCATTGTTTTTGGAACATCAGGTAAGTTTTAAAGAGTAACTTGTGATTTTTTTCCCCCTGTAAGATGAATAGACTTACTGTACTCTTGCTGTATTCTTATTGTTAATTCTGATTTTTTATTTTTTAGATATGTGCTGAGTTTTACAGAATCACACAAACAAACCTGAAGAGTAAATTTTTCTCTTCTCTGGATGAATATACACCGCGGATGATCAAGTTGTATAGGGTACGCGGCGGAGCATATGGAGATAATATGAAGACCCTCCTAGACCAACTTGATAATCAGGTAATTATTTAGATTGTGTTCCTACATCTCTCGTTAAGGGGAACCTATTATGATTTGTTGGGTTGACTTTCTTTTAGTGTGTAACATAGGTAATGTAGGATTTTGAATTAATCTAAACACATGATGCATATAATTTATTTGACATATTTCCAATTTGAATTAATCTAAACACATGATGCATATCATTTTTTCCATGTTTGTCTTTCTTTGTCTCTCAGACCTCCGATGTGCTTGCTCATAGAAAGGCTACAGCTCTCAAAGGGAAAAGTCTGAACATTTCCTGAAGACTTGCCTGGTAAGATGATTTATCAGCACATACATTTATACTTCAAATCCATCTCCAGATCCTATCAGGGGGTAACAGTTTTGTCTGGAATCCAAAACTAATCCATTAACTCTACTATCTGCCATGACATAGGAGACAAAGTGATGGTAAAAGTAGTTTATTAATTTGAGTTTCTCAATGTTTGGATTTCTGATTTCATCTGAAAACACCATTCAAAGTATTATTCTAAAGCAAAGATAATAGTTAATTACTGCTGCAAAACACTGTCCTGAGACATTGAAAACCTTGAGATGGAGACATTCCATCTGACCTCCAACCTGTGAAAAGAATACAGCACACAACACAACTATAAGATTAAGCAGTAATGTAGCAAAAACCAAGGGTAAGTGAGATTAATATGAAATGATACACCAGAAAATGTATATAGAAAAAATAAACAACAAATGAAATGATTTACTTACCCTTGTGTTTTTCGCCCTTACTGTCTGAATGCAGTTGCAGAATTCTAATAAAAAATGGCTTTTGACCTTGTTTTATTCTGCTTTTTACTGCAGGACACAGAGCCAGAAGAAAATCATACAGAAGGGAATAAAGATGGGGATCTTAACCATCGTTGAAGATGACGTTGCGACCATCCACTCAAACCCAAATGTAAGGTGCCTGTCTGTGGTTCTAGAGGAGCATATCGTGCTGGATAATGTGCAAGACCTTCCCACTGCTATAGCTCTTCTCTTTGGCTTGATTTATGCCCTGAACATGAACTATCCTAAAGAACTCAAGTACACCTTTGAAACGATTCAAAAGGTGTTTATTGGTCTTGACCCCCAGTGCTCAGCAAGAGTCCAGTCCTTCAAAAGCAAACTGTCAATGTCTAAATAGCTGGATATGGATAAGGGAAAGCACTTAGCTGTTGCTGTTGTTCCATCTGATGTTTCCGTAAAAGTGTCAAAAGAGGAAATATTTTAAATTTTAATGTAATGAACCTTAAATGTTGTTTTTACAGTTGTAAAACTGGATTGCTCAAACACATTTGTTGCAATTTTTAGAATCCTGAAGTCTTGTTCATAGATATAGCACTTTAAGACTGTAAAATCACTTTAAAAGCATTCCAAGAAGAGAGGAAAGTGTTCTTTTGCCTCTTAAGGGGCCTCAATGTGACAAATTGTGAATAAATATTTTCTGTAATGATGGCATAGTCTTTTGTATTGTTTTACAGCATTTACAGCATGGCTGAGAAATATGGATGCGAGATTATTCATAGCTAAATTAAAAGATGAAAATAAAAGTTGAATCAACTTAAAAAAACAAGGCAACCAGCTGCAAAGCTTTTTTGAGTTGACTGAACTTCATGCCCATGTAGTTGTGGCTACTTGATTTTTAAAGTTCGCTCAACTCCCTTATCCAGCTTCACTGAACTTTCAAAAATGATTTGGCACAACTTCAACCACCAAAGTTGAGTAAACTCAAAAATGCTTTGCAGCTGGTTGCTTTATTTTTTTAAGTTGACTCAACTTTTTTTTTTTTACAGTGTGTGTTCGTGCATGCTATATAATGGAGTATACTTTAAAAAAAGTCAAGGCATTTGACTGTGTGCATAATATATATATATATATTGGATTTATTGTGTAAACATGCTGGACGAAGCTGAGCTACAAGGTCTGTTTTTCTGACTGTGCCAAAATCGGACTGATCTGATTTCAGCCGGTCTACAGCAAAAATTTTTTTAAACTTTATCGTTGAAAACAGCTAATTTTTGCACATCTGTTGGGTTAATTTACAGACTTCACATTTAATGTTAATACTGTTCAGTTGAAATATTGTCTCTCCAGTCAGAAAGGACAGAGATGATAAAGTAGTCTAACTCTGGGTTGAAGGGTAATCCCTAAAACACATAAATAAACCCAGTCACACTGTTTTGGTGTCAAGCATAGTCTTTCACAACACTGCAGGATCCCCAGCTGGATGGAGAGGCATGATTTCCTAAAATGTAACTAGATCAGAAGGCAAGTCAGAGAGATGCTATTTTTACATGGCATCTGTACTGGCTGATAGAAGTTAGACGTTGAGGGAGTCCAGATAGAGACCAATGAAATGTGTTTTTGTGCTGTGGATGTGGACACAGTGTAAACACCTGCTCTCATCTGAGATCATGCATGATCATTATTGTGAGAAGCCGTAATAGTTCATTATATTATGTAATTAAGATTCACAACTGGACTTTACTTAAAAAAAAATTATTTTAACCCATTTTATGCTCACTTTATTTCCATTTTAACATTTTCTTGTTTTAACATTGAAAGTTTATTTCCATAAAGTTTCTTTATTGTCATCTATGGTTCCATAAAAAAAAATTGACTAGCCTGTGCAGACGCGGTGCAGCAGCTCTGCGTGGATCCTGCGTGGTGCAAAGTCTGTGTGCTTCTCCTGAGACTCTCCAGTGACTGAAGGAAGGACCGTCTCGCCCTTTCTTCCTCCAGAGGCGAAGCCCCTTCCTCCTCCACTTCAGCGATCTCTGCAAAAGTCACCGGCTGGGTCTTAAAGCGGGCGTCTCGGGGCCGCCGGGGACGGTTTCGGCCCCGAGCCAGACACTTGGGGACGGGTAGCTGCTGGGGAAACTCCTCCATGGCGGACGCCAAGATGTGTGCAGGTAGAACGGCGAAACCCACAGTCTCCATCGGACGTGCAGCCATGTATCTGGATGGCAAGGGTTGAGTGTTCGGCTTCTGAGATGTTTGGAGAGGCTTGCAATTCTCCAGGTCTCCCTGTGGTGAAGGATTCCAAGTAGCTTTGCTTGTATCCTTCCTGTCAATATTTGACAGAAGGTGAAGCAAACAAATGGCTTGAGAAGACAACTTCCAGAAGATGAGTGAGGTGAATCTCAGTTCTCTCTGTCTGTATCTGTCTGTGGTTTATGAGCGTGCCACTGACAGCTCTGGCTTTTATACTGCTTCACTCCCCAAACATCTCCCCACTCCGCTCTGGCTCCGCCCACCCACTGTGAAGCGTCATGGTTCCGGCTGCCATACCAGTCCCTCCGAGTCAGATCCTTGAAATAAATGCCAGCCAGAGAGGGAGTTGGGAAAGAGGAGAGGCGGGAGGGGCCGGAGGGAAGAAGATATATGCAGCTCTAACAGAGAGAATCAGAAAAGGGAGAAATAAACAAATGGCCAGGAACAGAAAAATGGGGAGTGAGAGGTCATGGGCAAAGAAGAGATAAACAAAAGATAGTTAGAAGACAAAACCCTTTGGAGAAATGTACACAACATACTGTACAAATACATGTGGGGGGCAAATCTCACTAAAACATGTTCAGGTCATATCAAAATAAAAAGAAAAAAAAACACTGTACATTTTATTTGCAATTCTCATTATTCTCAATTATCGTTATACTGTAAAAAATAAATAAAAATAAAAATATATATACTTAAAGGGATAGTTCACAAAAAAAATTAAAATTACCTAATGATAGCCATCCTAGGAGTATATGACTTTCTTCTTTCAGACAAATCCAATCGGAATTATATAAAAAAATCCTGGCTCTTCCAAGTTTTTTAATGGAGATTCAATAGTTAAATAGAAGTCCAATAAACTGCGTCCATCCATCATAAAAAAGTGCTCCACATGGCTCCGGGGGGTTAAAAAATAAAGGTCTCCTGAAGTGAATCGATCCGTTTTTGTACGAAAAATATCCATATTTACAACTTTATAAACAGTGATCTCTATAACAGTGATCACAATAGAACGCTGTTCCGGGGGATGACGTAGAACGTAGGTGTAGTGTAAGCTCCGGTGAGAAGCGACGAATGTGAAAGCGTTGTTAAACAAAGGAAACTTTGCTTCCTTTGCTCCTGTAAACAAACCTTGGTTCTCGTGAGACTAGCATATTCTCACCGGACCTCAGGGGCGTGTCTAGAACATTTTAAATGGGGGGTATAGGTTAATTACGTTTTTGTACGAAAAATATCCATATTTAAAACTTTATAAACAGTGATCTCTATAACAGTGATCACAATAGAACGCTGTTCCGGGGGATGACATAGAACGTAGGTGTAGTGTAAGCTCCGGTGAGAAGCGACGAATGTGAAAGCGTTGTTAAACAAAGGAAACTTTGCTCCTGTAAACAAACCTTGGTTCTCGTGAGACTAGCATATTCTCACCGGACCTCAGGGGCGTGTCTAGAACATTTTAAATGGGGGGTATAGGTTAATTAGGTTAATATTTTTGGGTTGAATAAACTTCAATAAATTAAATATTACCATGAGAAATAGTACATATTCAATGAACAAAAACACTTAAAGGAACCTAAAGGCTTTACTCAAATAAAAACACTTTCATCATCCTCATGACAGTACATGCTGGTTTTGTCTCATATCTAAAGGCTGCAAAACACCAGTTTTTGTTCCATGCTGAGTTATACAGTCGAATCCTCTCATTATAACTTACAGAGTGTATACACACAATGTAAATAATAGATTGATCGTGAAGAGCAGAGATTCATTGTTCACAACAGAACTTTGTGAGATCGCGATGAACAAAGAGTGACAGCTTTTAAGTGATTATAAAGGAAGCGCTCTTTGCGAGGTTTAGGATTTGAATAATCCATTCAAAATGCAGAACTTTTGTTTTTCGGCCGCACACACTTTGCAAAGTTTCGGGAATGACATCCACATATTTATGCGGAATTCACTCTTGAAATAACAGTGATTGACATAGTGATAATGGATGGGACAAAATTAAACAGGCCTGGTTGATACGCTTTAATTGCAGAACTACAGGTGCATCTCAATAAATTAGAATGTCGTGGAAAAGTTTATTTATTTCAGTAATTCAACTCAAATTGTGAAACTCGTGTACTAAATAAATTCAATGCACACAGATTTGAAGTAGTTTAAGTCTTTGGTTCTTTTAATTGTGATGATTTTGGCTCACATTTCACAAAAACCCACCAATTCACTATCTCAACAAATTAGAATATGGTGACATGCCAATCAGCAAATCAACTCAAAACACCTGCAAAGGTTTCCTGAGCCTTCAAAATGGTCTCTCAGTTTGGTTCACTAGGCTACACAATCATGGGGAAGACTGCTGATCTGACAGTTGTCCAGAAGACAATCATTGACACCCTTCACAAGGAGGGTAAGCCACAAACATTCATTGCCAAAGAAGCGGGCTGTTCACAGAGTGCTGTATCCAAGCATGTTAACAGAAAGTTGAGTGGAAGGAAAAAGTGTGGAAGAAAAAGATGCACAACCACCCGAGAGAACCGCAGCCTTATGAGGATTGTCAAGCAAAATCAATTCAAGAATTTGAGTGAACTTCACAAGGAATGGACTGAGGCTGGGGTCAAGGCAGCAAAAGCCACCACACACAGACATGTCAAGAAATTTGGCTAGTTGTCTTATTCTTCTTGTTAAGCCACTCCTGAACCACAGACAACGTCAGAGGCGTCTTAGCTCAGGCTATGGAGAAGAAGAACTGGACTGTTGCCCAGTGGTCCAAAGTCCTCTTTTCAGATGAATGCAAGTTTTGTATTTCATTTGGAAACCAAGGTCCTAGAGTCTGGAGGAAGGGTGGAGAAGCTCATAGCCCAAGTTGCAACAAAATACAAATGCACTAAATAAAATAATTTAATAAACATTTACAATACGCACTTAACTCAAATAAGTATTAAATAATAAATAACTACAGAAGGCTAACTATAGTCAGCTTGCTTTCATTTAGTGGGATAAGCTCTTTAAAAAAGCTCTTCTGGTTTTCAATGAGGCAAGGACAAAGTTTGAACATGCACAAACAATATCTGAACGAAAGCAGAGCCAATTCATAAGATAACACAGTCTATTTAAAAGCGCATGTCCAGTTTTGTGTGAGAACAAAAGGAAATCCGCTTGCGGATTACATTTGTCATTAAGATAACTCTATAGAAACCGCCTAAAATTAAGTATATAGAAGAAACCCGCCTTAGGCAGCTGCCTAGCATCTGCCACTGATGCAGTTAGAAATTTAATAAAAACAAGCGAATCGCAAGACATCTGGTGGGGGGGGGGGGCAACCAGATTTCAGTGGGGGCTGGGGCCCCCCCTGA